CAAAAAAAGTGTTAACCCGATATAGCGAGATCTGGGCCCGCTCATACATAGTGAGCTCCACTTTTCTGGTAATTGATCCGTATGTATGAGTTAGGAGGTAACGCAAATGCTAATGATTTTGGATAAAGTTCTTATAAAGAATAGGAAAGCTGTTTGATAAGAATATTGGATATATTGTTGATCAAGAATATATATGTACATTCTGCGTATCCAAACTTTCAAGCTCAACAGGAAACAAGGATCCGGATTTCTATAGATTTATTGCGATAATTGTTGCCCCTGACTACTCATATTCCGTTGAAGCAAAAAATCTTCTTGAATGTTATTCATGAGCGCTCTAACTGGTTCCTTTTCAAAATTGAAAACAAGTGTTTCAGTAAATAGGTAGAGTCCACGATACAGTGGAAGAGCAAACACAAAATTTCATTCATTTCCTTTTTCATGGTGCACCTTAACCTGGTATTCGTAGTACGGCAAAACATAGGTAAAGATGTCTAAAATAATCTTTACTTTGAAAAAGTAAATGACAGACAGAAAAGGAAACAAAACAGTTTATCGGAAACAGAACAGAGTACACATATACTTACTTTAGTACTTCGCTTCACTCAAGCAACCCATAATATTACCGGTTTTACAATAACTAATAGACATAATCGTACACTATTGTTATCTTATATCATACATTAAATTATTGCTTATACCTGAACCTTGATCTTCTCCTTCGGAAGCCAATGCCCCTGAACTTTAGCTGCTGAAAGGCGAGCTTGATAAAAGCAATTTCTAGTGCGGAAAGGAAGATATTCATTCCAGCATGTAACAAGGTTTCGACGAGATAGATTTATACCATTCTATAAACTCGAGATATGCGTTTTTTGACGTTTACGTACAACTTCTCCATTAGATCTTTTGGATAGTCTGTCATCGTAAAGTTCCCAAATGTTTCCACTTTCGGCAGCCGCCTAGTGCTCCAATTGCCAGCCGCGACGTCACGATAATGCCTTCAAATGTTTGTAATTACCTATTGCTAAATTCACCTATCTTTTAAATTGCAAAAGTGTTTACCTAACAATTGCTTCTTCAGGTGGTGCCTGCGTAAAGTTATAACCAGAAAAAAACAATCTGACCTCGTGGACCCACATTATCACCACCTTAACTCAATTTTTAAAACTATAACTTATTCCTAATTTCGAAAGAAGTCGTTGATTGCCTTTCGAGGGTCCAAAGCACATTTAGCAGCGTGGCCGGGAGGTCCTGGTGCTGATGTGTTATGGAAATTCAAAGTTGGCAAGTTGTCGTGGAGAGTTTTTTCACCCTTAACAGAATGAATTTTGAGATGTATCAAGATAACCCTCACGGTCTTATTAATTTAGCCCAATGTTATAGTCAAGCTCGAATGCGTAGTTTATCTGCTAACCGATGGAAGTCAGAATCGCCAACAATCTGCCCCAAGCAAGCAAAATCACAGCTAAATTGGTGGATTTGCTACCTAGGTTGTTAAAATAGTATCTACTTTATTGATCGATATACCTCGTATTTGCTTGGAAGTTTATTTGTTCGTTGCACCCATATCTGGCGAAACTGAACCATCGCTATATTCGACTTCTCAACCATTTTCTGCCTTAGCGAAGGTAATTCATCATTGCTCTGAAGTATGATGTAGCGTCAGTATGAACTTACGAAATATATTCTGAGAGTGTAATTTTTTCCAAATTTAAAATTCTTTCATCTAAATCAGCAAATATAGAATAGCGGGTTTGATGACGACTACGTTGGAGACATTCCTGAAAGAGATCTAGACAAAGTGCACATTCCAAAGCCTGCGCTACTGTGAAAATTATTATGAAACTATTTGAAAGGTGTAATTTGAACCGATCAATGTCGTATAGTTTAACATAGTACATTACATAAACTCAATCCATCACATGTAATATCTCATTAACTATGGAATATATTCTTCCCAATTTTTCAACTTCAATTTATCTCGATTTGATATTTCATACAGATACTCTCCCCCGTGATGGTCTACGGCCTCATCGTGGCGCG